CATTAGTTGTCCAGAAATAAATCTTGCATGTAATAATTTTAACCATGACAATAAAAATAATTTCTCCTTGAAGGAGATGGTCACCATAAGAATGGTGTTGTGAAATTTGTGGTAGTACACAAAATTAATTGAGAGTTTCGAAAGGGCTAATTTGTTACTATCCGGAGGAATGAAATAGTTCATCATATTGGGGTTGTAGTAAGTCTCAAAAGAAACTTTTTAAGTTTTGGAGGAATTGAAAGATTTTTTTTTTATTATATTGAGATTGTAAATTATTGAAAGATTAAATATCCTCAGTTTACTACAATCAATGCGGGTTATGAATATTTACGTAAAAGGTTACCCGTCTTTTCCTTATTTGTTGTATAAAAATATAGGCATGATGAAGAAATCACATGCAAAAGTAAATCAAAAGTTTACTAGAATAAATATCAGTTGCCATAACCGATTGGCCATTCCGGTTCAAATGTGATGCAAAAGAAATTGAGAATTCACGTGGCTATATGTTTGAAGAATTAAAAGATTCTTCAAGAATTCTCTTGTGTTGTTTGTTCTCATCATAAAATGATCAATGTACCAGCTAAGGTTGAGGTTGTATCCCCTGAAGTTATTTGAAACTTATAAAAAGGTGAATATGGCCCCTTCACCTGCCATGTGGACCACTAACTACTATGATTTAATAGATGCATCTATGATATGGCCACGTGCATTTGTATCAACCTATAAATTTGTTTTTGTAAGGTTGTTTGCTCGAATTGTTAAATTAAGAGCACGATTTCAAATTATATAATTATGTTGATAATATGGTTGGTTCAGCAGAAATTGTTAACCTCCAATTATAGCTAGACCATTGATTATGAGAACAAATCTCTCAAATAAAATCTGATATGAGATGAGTTTATTTAACATGTATGCATCAGGCCAACAAGGTTCTCTCATCAAAATTGGTTTAGGGTCAGGAACCAAATAATTTCCATCTACTGATATGAGATGAGTTTATTTAACATGTATGCATCAGGCCATATTTGATATATGCACATATGATTTTATTGTTCCACCACGCACAAAGATGGATACCCAAATGAGGTTGAGGGTAAATGTTAGATTTCCTAACATTAGGGGGAGATGTGTTTAGCAGCTGGAAATTATGTGTGGTGAATTATCTAGATCCTCGTTAAAAAAATGTGAATTTGAAGTTTAAGAGATAATTAATTTGCAAAATGTTGCTTTGCCAGATATATTTGCTGACCCCAATATTTTAATTAAGCTGTAAATGCTCCAATAAATAGTCCTTAAAGGACAGAGTCTATGGTACACCAAAAGTGTGAGACCAATCGATTCCAAACGTATAGCTCATTGAGGAAGGAGAGGAGAAAATTATCGAAATGGTCATGATAATGAGGTAAGTGCTTTGAAAGAGTACTACGACATAACACTCCATAAAACCTTAGCAAAGGTTCAGGTACCTGAAATGATGACAAATGAAGAGATCTCAATAAGTTATGTCGAATTGGAATCAATATCAAAATGATTGTCGACGGTATTTTTGATTTGAAGTAGCACTCAATGCTATAAATGGTTACGAGGATGTTGAATTCAAATCTGTCATATAATGTGGACAAATAAATGATTGGCCAAATAAAATGCACTATTCAAGTATATTTTTCTTCACTTAAAAAATGATGTTTTTGAACTTATAGTTCATAGATCAAAATATATGTCAGTGGGGGATACAAATGAATCATTGTGCGGAAGTATAACTGTAAGATATAAAGTATGGTTTGTGCCTCAGGGCATAAAGGGCTTTCGTAAAAGTCCTGACATTATTAAATGGAGATATATTCTCCAGTGGTGGATGCAATGAGACTTATTTCAGTCTAGCAATAGATGAAATACTTGAATATGTATAATGAATAATTATCATGTTTAACTAGACGATGAAGGTTATATGAAAATCCTTAAAGGATTTAAAAGGTCTTAAAGCAATTCCATTGAGTACCCAATGGTTTTGAGACTGCTTAACACAGAGAGAATCTTTTTGATCTAAAGAAAATGATTTAAAATGTCATGTATTGGTGCAATTGGTGCACTTATAGATTGCTGGTTATGCAAATGCTAGAAGATTATTTGATACACATAATGAAAGTTATGTGAAAGGATTGTCATATTATCATTCAAGTTATGACAAGAAACTAACAAAGCAAGTGACTCAATGCATAAAAGATGTGTGATTTTCTTTGAGAAGAAAAAACGAGATTCAATAAAATTGAAATGATCAATCTCTGAGTCAGAAATGATTTGTATGTAGATGCAAAATATTTATTTGATCCGCATAAATCTCGATCGCAAATGGACTATTTATTTATATATGGAGACACAAAAATATCTTGGCATTCAAAGAATCCATTAGTAACCACTTCTTCAAATCATGCAGAAATAATATTAATCTATGAATTAATTCGGGAGTGTGTTTGGTTGGAATCATGATCTATCATATTCAGAAAATATGTGATTTTCTTTTGAAAAGGATATTCCCGTCACCATATATGAAAATGATATACAACTTAATTGAAGGGAGGACACAATCAAAGGAGATCAGACAAGGCATATTTCACCAAGTCTTTTTCACACATGATCTTCAATAAAATGGTGAGATAGACGTTCAAAGACCCATTCAAGTGATAATCTTGTAAACTTATTCACTAAGGATTGCCAACATCAATATTTGAGAAGTTGTGATATAAGATTGGAATGCATCGTCTCCGAAATATCAAGTAAAGTTTTTATCAAAGGGGGAAAATACACGTTGTACTCTTTTCCTTAACCATGATTTTATCCCAATTGGATTTTCCTAGTAAGGTTTTTAGCGAGGCAACATTCAAAGCGTATTAAAATATATGTATACTCTTTTTCCTTCACTGGGATTTTTTCCCACATGGCTTTTTTCTAGTAAGGTTTTAACGAGGCATATTATCTATAAACATCCACGGGGGAATGTTATAAAATATTATAGTGTGAATGTCCACTACACCAAGAAGTTACTCTCACCCATTATCTCCATTACTTTCCTCCATTATGAAGAAAATCATAACCTCCACCTTTATGCCTCTATGTTACACTATAAATAGAGGTATAAGGGTTCATATTGTATAGACTTAGGGTGTACACTTGAAAGAAAGAAATTTATCTCATATTGTTCCTCTTGTCCTATATTCTTCTCGTCTCCTCTTTATATTGTTCTTTTATTCTTAAGTTTTACAATAATTATAGTTAAATAAGGTACCTTTGGATTTTAATCCAATGAGACGGCAAGAATGATGATGATTTTGCACATTATTTGTGTGGGTCGATGAAACGAAAGCTCCTTTCTAGAGTATTTTGTGATAAAAATGTGACATTAAGATTTTTAAAAAGTAAGTTCTATAAAGTGATAGTTAGAACAATATTGTTGTACATGACAAGGTGTTGGGGAATGAAGAATGTCCATGTTTAGAAGATGAAGATGCTCGGATGGATGTGTGGGTTAACTAGGTGATATGATTGGGAACAAATTTATAATGGACAAGATGGGAGTGACCTTATGGTGATAAGATGAGAGAAGCGAGGATGATGTGATTCAGACATATGAAAATGAGGTGTGAGGAGCCACAGATGCGTCAGTTAAGAGATGTGAAAGGTTGATTGTAAAAGAAATAGTAGGGGTAGAGGTAGTGCTCAAAAAGAACAAGAGAGGGGAGAAATCAAAGGGGTAGAGGTAGTACCCGAAAAGAACTAGGAAGAAGGAGACTAGATAGAACTTGACACAACTTCAACTTACATAGAAGAGGGCTAGCCCCCTCCTTTCCTCGTCTCATTATTGTTTCATTTGCTTTGTATCATGCTATTTGATTGTTATATTTTTCTTGGAATCCTACTTCAGCAACATCACTTTTGAGCTGAGGATAAAAAATAGCCTCTCTAGTCTCTACCCCTTAACACTCCTATTAAATAAAATTAAAAAAATTTGGTATTTGCTAGCAACAACATAATGGAGGCAGTCACTCAAAATAGATTGATCCGAAATCTGATTCAAATCCAATATAGTACATATAGGTACATAAGAAATGTATTGAATCGATTCTTTTTAATGAATAGATCCGATCGCAACTTCGAATATGGACTTCAAAGGGATCAAATGACTACAATTTCACATGATAAATATTTCAGATTATTTATTAATTTAAACAACACAAATCATAGAGTGATTCTTTATATCTTCTCTCTAAAGTAACACTCACAAAACACTTCTTAGAGAAAATTGACCAAACACTAAAGTCATAAACTATTTATCTAATCAACAACATATTTAGTATAATCTCACAAATGAAGTCTGGAGAGAATTTAACGTCCACGAACATTATCCTTACATTTGTCAACAAAATTGTTCACGGGAGTGTTTTTTAATGTCCAGCTGTGGTGTCTGAGCTAGCTTGCACACTTCACAAGGACCAACTAGTGCGGAATATCAATGCAGAAAACTAAGTGGCTCCTTCGTCCATCGCATAGAGTAGACCTGGTTGCAACTTGCACTTCTTTCCTACGTTGAAATTGAGAAAGCTTTCAACATGAAAACGGTTACACTTTCTTGGACCTCGTAGCAAACCACCAAGGCTCAAACCCCATCCAAATCATCCTCAGAGGAATCAGACATGGTAACTGCCCACTGCAAATATTCGGCACTTGCTATATTTGTCTCTACCCAGCCACCAATTCTTGTACTTTCATCAAGTTCCGACTCTAGGGTCAGGGCAAGTGGCCCATCTAAGAAGCAGTTTTCCACCAAGGACGCTTGAGGATTTCCTGACCGTTGTAATAAACTAAAAGGCAACGACATAGCTGAGAGTTTAGGCTGTTGACGTGACAGATCGGCTATTTTGTGTATGCCCAAGATTGATAGTTTTGTATTGCTTGAAAGTTGGCAAACAACTTGACCAAAAGTGCCAAAACGATACAAAACACTACCAGAGTGTGGCAATGCAGAGACAAACTGAGCCAAGCAGGCAACAATATTTGATTTTTTAACCATCACAGCGATTCCACTACCATTTAGTTGATTCAGCAGGGGCGGCCCAAAAGATGAATAGTCAGTCATCCCCCTTTCCTGCAAAAATTCCCCAAAAAAATTGTTATTCTAGGCTACACATTAAGGCAACTAAAAATGATGTAATATAACAAGTAGATACAATATGCAACATCTGCAACAACCAACTAATGACTCCCCATGAAATCTTCCTTGTCAGATTACTTACCTTGCTTTTATATGAAGCTACATAGAAAGACAACTGAAAGATATAATATAACAAGTAAATACACTATGCAAGAAGCCAACAACCATGTAATGACCTCCCTCCCCCCACAGAATCTTCCTTGTCAACCTGTTGATTTCTTGCCATTCCTCAATACTAATAAGTGCGAGAACTTTGCACCACAGATCAGCTACTCGATATTTTCTTTTGGTTTTGGTGAGTACATCTGCAACTTCATTTTACAGGAATTTTGACCTAACCATTTTTTAGGAGGCTGGTAACAAAACTTTTGACCTTGTTACTTTTGCAACTTCTTGCTGATACTGACAATACCAAAAAGAATTGAACATGGATTTGATAATTATGATCACAAATAAGAAAGCACATTCAGTATTCAGAAGCATTTACCTCACGTGAACTTGTAGGTACTGCAATATCTCTGCATCGACACCGACTGGAATGGCAACTGCAGAACACCAATCACTGATATTTGCTGCATAAAGAACTTTTGCTAAGGAAAGTGAACTACCCAGGATACACTTCTGGCCTCTTATGCTGCCAACAAACTCTGCTACAAGTGTATCCTTTTCACGGATAGTTGTTTCAAAAGTCAGCCTAGAATCAATACCAGTCCTAATTGCTCTTTCAATTGCATTGCACTTGGATACATCAATGGTACCGATCATCAACAGTGCACCCACAGCATCAAATTCTCCTCTTACGTGAGTGCTAGTTTCTTGGAATGGACTTCCTTTAGAAGATTTATAGAATGCAAGCACTCGCTCCAACTTTTCTTGTCTGTCTCTTAGGGTACACAGCCAGAGCCTTCTCATACTTGAGGGTACACAGCCAGAGCCTTCTCATACTTTAAGGGTACACAGCCAGGCCTTCTCATACTTGAGGGTACACAGCCAGAGCCTTCTCATACTTGAGGGTACACAGCCAGAGCCTTCTCATACTTGAGGGTACACAGCCAGAGCCTTCTCATACTTGAGGGTACACAGCCAGAGCCTTCTCATACTTGAGGGTACACAGCCAGAGCCTTCTCATACTTGAGGGTACACAGCCAGAGCCTTCTCATACTTGAGGGTACACAGCCAGAGCCTTCTCATACTTGAGGGTACACAGCCAGAGCCTTCTCATACTTGAGGGTACACAGCCAGAGCCTTCTCATACTTGAGGGTACACAGCCAGAGCCTTCTCATACTTGAGGGTACACAGCCAGAGCCTTCTCATACTTGAGGGTACACAGCCAGAGCCTTCTCATACTTGAGGGTACACAGCCAGAGCCTTCTCATACTTGAGGGTACACAGCCAGAGCCTTCTCATACTTGAGGGTACACAGCCAGAGCCTTCTCATACTTGAGGGTACACAGCCAGAGCCTTCTCATACTTAAGAGACCCATCAGAGTAAAGCAAAGCCCAATAACAAAGCTTGTGGTAACTGGTAAAGTAATAATTTGACTGCTCAAGCTCTGAGTACTTCCTAATGACACTGTTCAGCAGTTGAAAGTTGCATGACAGGTAACAGATATACCCACTTTAGTTCAATAGTACAAAAGTAGGGATGCGTACAATCTCACCTTCCCCTGACCTTCTAAAAAGAGCCAAAACTACCATTCTCACATAAGAAATAACATTTTCATAACTTTTAATGTTCTCCCTTTAGATATTCATTTGCTTCAAATAAGATTCACATGAAGGAGCAGCTATTATCTTGAAGAAATGTTCAATATCATACTTGCTTGGATCCCTCATATAACTCTTACTGCACATTCTTTTAGGATCCTAAGTTGGGAAAATTTGAATATAATATACATGTGATCCAATGGTGTTCTCTTTTTCCCAATACATCTATCAAACCTGTCCCAATAAGGTGGCCTAGAAGTCCAAGAGCCATTTTAAATTTTTTCTTTTATGACTGTGAATTTTACAAGAAACCAGCCCTTTGGGCCAACAACATAGCCTTCTAAACTCAGGGATGATGGATTTTCCCCTCTAGTCTCTATCCTTCTCAACTTAATTACAGGACTTAGTAGTTAGTTCACTTGGCACAGGGATCGAATCTGTGACCGAAGAACAAGTCCCTCAACCTTCCTCTTTTTAACAATCTAGGGAATCAAGGTTCCAATCCTAATCATAACATATGCAAAACTAAGTAAATTCTTTCCATCAACCTAAATGTTTGGGGACAAAGCTAATCAATACCATTGTTAGTTGAGGAACCTCTAAATACCATTGTTAAAAGAAACAAAAACAAAAAGAACATCTAGTGTCCATCACAACAGAGATGTAACCTCATAATATCCAAATTCCAAAAAACTGATAAAGCTCATAGAAGTAATCCATTCCGCTGAACAAAACCAGCATAGCATAAGTCTCTTTCTACTCTTTTTACTCATATTCTATAGGTCAATCGGCTTCAACAGGTGAAAAAAATCAAAATTATCAAACCACTACTTGAAAACAAACGCAATGAAACTTAAATAACCTTTATGAGACACCACAATATTACTACTTAACAACGCATACTAGAGCAAATAGGTATTTACATAATGACTGGCAATCAGCTTGCATAGGGAAAAAATGAAATGTATCCGAACTAATACTTGAAAACAACAAAAACATACCTAGTGTAATCACACGATTGGGATATAGGGAGGGTAGTGTATATACAGCTTACCCCTCCCTTGGGGAAAGGCTGTTTGCTATAGACCCCTGGTTTGAATAAAACATATCAAATTAGTTATCAAAAGGAAATACAGCAGTGAGGAAGCTAAGTCAAAAATACAGGAGAACAAAACAATAGAAACAACAAATAGATAGCCGAAGCAAAGGAAATAACAAGTAATAATCAAATAAAAAAATAAGATAGTATGAGAGTAATAATAATAAACTTATAAGAAAAACTAGTAAATTCTCAACTACCTACTAAACTTCCACCCTAATTTTCAACCTCCAAATTAAATAAAATTAAACAACCATAATGAGACACCAATATTCTACTTTTAACAATGCATGCTAGGAACAAATGGGTCTCTATATTATCTCTTTTGATAATCGTAGTGTCCATGCCAACTTTCAAGCATGTCAACTAGTTCTACAAGATACTTAATACCTCACACAAGCAACAAACACCAGGTAACTCTATGACTAAGACAGATAGCAAGAAATCACTAGTGTTTTTGTCTAACAACTCACACAAACAACAAGCATCAAGTAAATTTGTCCATCAAAGAACAGATAACAAGAAATCAGTAATATTTTTGTAAACAACTCATACAAGCAACAAGCATCAGGTAACTCTATCCATCAAAGCTAGAATAGATAACAAGAAATCACTAGCGTCTTTGTCTAACAACACACACAAGCAACAAGCACCGTGTAACTCTATCCACCAAGACTAAAACAAATAGCAAGAAATCACTAGTGTTCTTGTCTAACAAATAACACAAGCAACAAGCACCAGTTAACTCTCACCTAGTCTTCATTGACAGCTGGGCCACATTGTAGGCAAAATTTACCGGAAAAAGAAAATACACAGTTAATTTACCGGATTGCGGCGATTGGAAACTTCGCGGTTGCGGAACACGACGGAAGCGAAATTCTGCGTAGATTTTGCAAAGGACTTTAACTTGTCTACAACTGAAACAGCTGCTGTTTCCATTTTTGAAAACCTATGTATGAATCAGAAGAGAAAAAAAAGCTTCGATGAATTGTGTTAATGGCGTTTCAACAATGGAATTGATTTTTTCCTATGCTGCTCAGACTCTTCAAAAATGTCGACAGGTTCGGGTCCAATCATTCAAAAGTAGTTCATTTTTGAAGAATTCAACGTGGTTACGACATCATTTTTGGAGATTCGAAGCAACATAAATTTTTTCTATTCTGACTTAGTGACTACCTTCCATATATATTGCATTTTGTTCTAGTATAAAAATTCATACATTTCTGACCTTTGGTTCTGCGCCTTCCCGGTACTAAGGTGGTTTGTTCTCAAATGCCCTTTCATAAACTTGCAAAACCACTTAAAATTTTGGAAATTGATAGAGGTTCTATTTATTATACGTATTCCCTCCAAAATGAACTCATACAAGAATCGTCTTGTCAATAACCTCGATTAACTTACTGACACGGAAAAAGTTTTCCCATCTATTAGCTCTATTCCTCTGCTAGCCGACTAGAGTTTAAGATTGATAACAGTTCACATTATTGTACACTAGACTTATATTCTCATATTGTCAACCTACAAATATAAGTTTTCATGATAGACATAAGGATTGCAAGTTACCTCCCCATGCGATTTAGCAACTAGCAGATTAGCTCCCTATAGCTAGGAACTTTGTACCACACAGCTCAGATGACCCCCTCTTCATATGGCACCACCACTCACTCTCACTAAACAACAGAGTAATAGTTCTTAATAACAATAGTGCATAGAAATTACAAGGGACAATCTGCATTTTTAACCACTATTCAGAAGGACCACCAAACATTGTAAGCATGAGTTAACGCAATGAGTAGTGCAATAATTTTTAGACCACAAAGGGGAAATGAACAAATTCCTTCACCATAGATGGGCCACAAGTTGTGAAAACCACTACGATGCAATATTCACTTTTTTGCAAAATATAGTCTGTTGGATTTTCCTATCAAGATATATACTATGGAATTTCTAAATTTACTCCTAGTGAGCTATCAGTTACCAATTCCCTCGAGCTGAATCAATCTTAAAGCTGATTAAAATATGGACATAAGCATCCTTTTGAGCTTCCATTAACTATAAGAATTTTACCAGTGAACAGATGATTTTATCAAAGTCCCATTACATGTAGTACATCTACTACCCAAAAAAAATTCTTCTCAATTATAAAATCAAATTCTATCACCATGGTCTGTTTTTTTTTTGGAACTGGTAACTTTAGCTATCACCATGTTCTTTAGCAAAAAGAAATAATCCAACAATCCTCTAGAAAAATGGCACATTGTATAAGCACCCAAGGGATGGCCAAGTGGCCAACGAAGTGGGTTGTAGAGAACCATAAGGTCTCATGCTCAATTCCAAATGAAGAAACTCAGTCTGGAGACCTATCGGGAACCTATGGCCATTGATGTAGTTCAGAGCAAAGGTGAAGATTAGGGATGGACAGCGAACATCCTTTTGGCATGACAAATGGACAGGGCAAGGAACTATGAAACAACAACATCCAGAACTCTTCGCATTAAGTCAACAGCAACATGCCACAGTTGCCATGATGTGGAAGGGTGGAATTTATTCCTAAGGAGACATTTAAATGACTGGGAGATGAAAAGAATTGCAAAATTTACAATTCAGTAGCAGGTTTTAATAACCTCAATGGAGGAGAAGACAGACAGGAATGGAAAGTTCTCTATCAACTCAGCTTACAAGGAGCTGAATTCAACAGTGGTGAAGGAAAGAGATTGGCCTTGGAAGATGATATGGAAGCCGAAGATCCCTTACAAAGTTAACTGTTCACCTGGCTTTTGGGTAAAGAGGTAATCTTGACACAGGAAAACCCAAGTAAAAGGGGTCATCAATTAGCCTCTAGATGGGTGAAACCTGGAAGCATAGCAGGTGCTAAGATGCTGGGAACAAGGATGGCACGGTAAGTAAGGAGGAGAGATGGAAGATTGTCCTGGCTTGTATTTGGTGGTCAGTTTGGTCTAAGAGGAATAGGAGGTGTTTTGAAAGAGTACAAAGCAGCTTAATGTTAACTTTCTAAAAAAAAAAAAAAGAGTACAAAGCAACTTACATAATCTTAAGACGAATTGCTTAGGCCTTTTTCACTTTTGGCGTGAGCAAAAATTACTAGCTCAAACAGAAGACATTTTAGACGTTTCAGACTTTTTGCAAGGACAAATTGAACCACAAGATGTAAGTTGTAATACTTTTGCAGGGGAACTACACTTTTTGGTGTAGTATACCTGTGGATATATAGAATTAATGTTATCTTTCTCAAAAAAAAAAAAGAACTATGGTGATTTCTTCACATTTGTCCAAGCCTCGGATGGATAGAGCTACCCGATACCTGTTTTAGTGGGAGGTAGCAGGTGCTCGTGGAATTAACCAAGACAAGCCCAATCTAGCCTTAAATCTATAGGACCAGCAGCCTTAATATTCAAAAAAAATTCTTGTCAATTCTAAAACCAAATTCTATCAGCATGTTCTCTAGCTAAAAGATATAATCCAACAATCCTCTGGAAAAATTGTGAAGACGTATGGCCGAGTGGTGGTTTGAGAACCATAAACTCTCAGGTTCAATTTCCTGTGAAGAAAAATTGTTCCTGTGCAGGTTGGCGTGGGAGGTACCAAGCTAGCTAAGACAACCCGATTATAAAATAAAAATGCACACTGTATAAATCTATAGGACCAACAACCTTTAAATCTATGAAAAACGTAAATAAACACACAACGAATTTCATTTCACGAGAAATTAACATTGAAAAAAACGTACACATAAAACGCAATATGTTAGATATACCTTGGAAGGATCAACTTTCTGGAAGAATTGACGACGTTGATAACACGATCCCTAACTTCATTCTTGTCGAGAAACGATCCCCTTACTTCCTCGGAGAAATGGCGTTTGAAAAGCTGACTGACTGAACCTCCGATGAGCCTAGGGTTTCGAAGCTGCACCGGCCGAGCTTCCACTCTCAGGTACTTCAGCAATGCGTTCCTCGCCGCAATTGAAAATGTAGAAAAAGAAGGCAGAGATTTGGAGAAGATGAACAAGCGGCGTGAGGGCTTTCTCAAAGGTTCTGAAAAAGTTTAAAGCTTTTCTTTTTTCTTATTAAAAAAAATCTTTTTTCTTTTTTAATTTCTTTTTCCTAATTTTTTTTATTTTTTACTACATGTATTAATTGGACAAAACAATGTATTTAAGTTAATTAAGGTGCCTTGGGGCAAATGAATAGAGGCTCGTTTCTAGACCATTTTATGATGAACAAAGTGTTAGTCAATGAAGAATGTCTGTTTAGAAGACGAAGATGTTCGGATGGATATGTGTGTTAACTAGGAGATATGATTAGGAATGAATTTATTTGAGCAAGATGAGAGTGACCTTTGTGGCAAATAAGATGAGAGAAATTAGGATGTGTAGTTTTGAGCGTGTGAAAATGAGGTGTGAGGAGTCGATGATGTGTTAGTTAGGAGGTGTGAAAGCTTAATTGTACAAAAGGTAGGAGAGGGAGGTAGAGGTAGTAACCGAAAAGAACTAGGGAGGATGGGGATAGGGATGACAATGGGGCGGGGAGTTGAGCTTAACCCGCAAAATTTTTAATCCGCCCCACCCTGCCCGTCATAGACCCACCTTGCATAATTTTTTTTAATATTTTCTTTTTATAGTTAAGTTTGATACTAAAAAATAAAATTCATAAACATAAATTTATTTTTTCATTAAATTATATTAATTTAATAGGATAGTGACTTAAAATTTTATTTTTAGAGGTCAATTGGGAAACATGTAAAAAAATTGTATTATTTTTTATTGAACCATTTTCTTTTACTATTTTGAATATTTTAGTAGCTTTAAAGAAATAACATCTTATCACCTATAAAAAATTAAAATTAAGTTGAACCCACATAAAATTACATATATGATATACCCACAACCCGCTCCGCTCCACATTAGTTTTTAAAAAACTCACTTCAACTCACCCTGCATCCCACCAGCCCTGCCCCACATAGCCTTAAACCCACCCACCTTATCCCGCCCCATTGTCATTCGTAGATGGAGACTAGAGAGAACTTGACATAACTTTAACTTACCCCCACCTTTTCTCGTCTCACTGGTATTTCATTTGATTTGTACCTATTTGAATATTGTGTTTTTTTTTTACCATCCTATTTTAATAACATCACTTTTGAATCAAGGATCAGTAATAACAATCTCTCTACAACTTAACAATTCTATTAAATAAAATTTAAAAATTGAACCCCTTAACACTTTATTTAAAAAATATATTAAAAAGTTAACTACAATCTCACATGATAAATGTTTCAGATTATTTATTAATTTAAAAACAACACAAATCATAAAGTGATTCTTTATACCCCTCTGTAATGTAACACTTAACCAAACACTAAAGTCTCACAAATGGAGTCCGAAGAGAATTTGATATACACAAACGTTATCCTTACCTTTGTCAACAACAGTGTTTCAAATCGTTTAGCCAATCATAAACTGCTATGCTCACAAAATACATTTTCCTGAAACTTCACTTAGACCAAAAAAATGTTCCTCTAAAAGCTTGGCCAAGCAGTTTATATAGGAGAGAACAAAGCATAAGGTCCTATTAACTGCTTCGACTAAAATTTGTTACTAAAGTGAATACTGTTGGAGTAGACAAAATGTTTCTCTTCCTTTCTATTTTGTGTGGGAGTTGCTAAAGGGTGTTTCTATTATAAGGGGAGAGTCAGATTGTTCACGGGAGTGTTTTTTTTATGTCCAGCCGGG